CTGAGACGTGCTGGAGTCAAAGACTGACCCCTGCTGAAGTGGATATGTTGGTATTTCTCCAATAAAATGGCTAGGATATTCGGCCACATGACCCAGTGCTGATATATAACACTCTAGTTGGCTGTAGCCTTAAGCTATAACCTACAGATATGTTTGTTAGATAACGGTTAGCCTATGTCAGGGGTGTCCAGGGTATCCGCAAAAGGCCGCAAGGGTTACGCATATGAACTCCAATCTGTGCCAGTCAGGACATATCTGCTCGTAAATATGAGTAAGCAGACTACATTACGTTACTGTCATATCTGTCACGTTAGGCATTTTTTCATTGAATAAAGCTTAAAGCCTTCTTTATATGAAAAGCAGTGCTAACTTCAACATTTTCATGGATTCTATTTGTGATTTTAGGATTGTTAATTAATGATTAATCACATTAATGGTCAAAAGAATTTGACAAAATTTGCGTTTCCACTTGTTACAGCCCATAAATTCGGTATTGTTAAAGCCAAATGCAGTAAAGCTCAGCATTTTGTCATATCTGCATTTTTTTGTTATGTTTTGATATTATGTCTATAGACAAGCATTCATTTTACAAAGCAGAGAGGGAGTACCAACATGCAGCATTCAACATAAGCAATGGCCTGATGGTCCAGGGCCAGTAAAAAAGTATGTTGGGCAAGTTGACTGGCCAGTTGCTGGCCTGTTCGGGCCAGTGACAGTGAGTGTGGCTAATTTAAAAGACCATTGCTAGGTATAACGCGCCCTTCGTAGCGTCCTCAGCAGCAGCGTTCTGCGGAAAAGCCTCCTCTGCAGCTAGTGCCAAATGATCTGGCCTATCAGGATTCAGAACTACAGCTGCGTCATAACTCCTGACCCACCTTTGAGGTGTTTGAATGGTGAGTGAGAGGTGAAGAAGGCAACTGTCGAGGTAAATACAAAGAAGGGGCGTTAAAAAATGATATTAAACGAGTGAAACAAGACTTGCAGCTTGCAGTGAAGAGATTCAACACAAAGCCTTATTTTTGTGTTTTCTGCTTTTAACCACAAGAACACGAGTGACGTTTAACTACGAGTGCACAAACTAGCTAACAATGTCACTGTGTAGTTCAGCTTAAGACTCAGATGACCTTCCAATGACCAAAGTGTTCCTTTGTTGTTTGGACGAATCATTACAGTGTATATATGATTAATAAATTAACAGGCTTATTTCTCTTGGGCCAGTAAAAATACACAAAGAGTCAATAAAACTCTACTAGCCCAGGGGTCAAGTGGGAGAAAACGGTTAGGTTGCACATTGCAATATGGCAGCCAAGTGGCTTCACTTCGCTGTGACATCATCTGCAAACTAATTCTTTATATACACTATATATGGCCAAAAGTATGTGGACACCCCTCCTGATTAGCCACACTTACTGCTAACAGGTGTATAAAATCAAGCTCATAGGCATCCGATCTCCACAGACAAAAACTGGCAGTAGAATGGGTCGTACTGAACAGCTCAGTGGCTTTAAATGTGGCACCGTCATTGGACGCCACCTTTGCCACAAGTCAGTCTGTGAAGTTTTTGCCCTGCTAGATCTGCCCCAGTCAACTGTAAGTGCTAATATTGAAAATTCAAAGCATCGCAGAGCAACCACAGCTCAGCCATGAAGCAGTAGAGCATGCACACTGACAGAGCGGGATGGCTGAGTGCTGTGAAAATCACTTTGCATCACTCAAGAACTGTGTCTTCATGAAATGGTTTTCGAAGGCTGAGCAGCTCCACAGAAGCATTACATCACTGTGTGTAGTGCCAAGTGTTGGTGTGGTGTAAAGCACCGCCACTGTATGCTGGAACAGTGGAAATGTGTTCTCTGGAGTGAGGAATCACACTTGGCTATCTGGCAGTCTGATGGGTGAATCTGGGTTTGGTGGATGCCAGGATAACACTACCTACTGGAATGCACAGTGCCAATAATAAAGTTTGGTGGAGGAGGGATAATGAGCTGGGGCTGTTTCTCAGGACTTGGCTCAGCCCCTAGTTCCAGTGAAGGCTAATATTAATGCTATGGCTATTTTAGAAAATTATACAGTTCCAACTTTGTGGCAACAGTTTGGAGAAGGCCCTTTCATGTTCCTGCATGACTGAGTCCCTGTACACAAAGTGAGCCCCATAAAGACATGGTGTGACGGAACTTCAGTGACCTGCACAGAGTCCTGACCTGAGCCCCACTGAACACCATTGGGATGAACTAGAATCTAATGTGAGCTGGGCCTTCTCATCCAATATCAGACCCTGACCTCATAAATGCTCTTCTGATTGAATGGACACTCTAAATTCATGTGGAAAGCCTAATCAGAAGAGTGGAGGCTGCTATAGCCACAAAAAGGGGTGGGGACAACTCCACATTAACGCTCATGGTTTAAAACAGGATGTCCAAAAAGCTCATTTAGGTGTGATGACCAGGTGTCCACGTATTACATTTCATATCTTTCTATGGATAAAACATGTAACAGAAATCAGAATCAAAATCAGGCTATAGAAACAGGTCACATAATCAGATATTCAATCAGAATTTACTCTTTTTTCCTACAACATCCATCATTTTCTTGTGGTATGAGTTTGATACCGATATTGGGTATCAGATCAGCGTCATTTCTAATTGATACTCTTTCAAAAACGTCTCCGACTTTGGCCAGAGAATTCATTCCTCACCACTACTCCAAACCTAAGTCAGCATGTTCCCGAAAAAAAGACTCTCAAACTCTCTATCACCCATCATCTTAGATCTTCCCCATCTCCATCGAGCTTAAGACCAAAACATCAGGCACAGCAAAGCAGGACATCTGCAGTTTCCATTCAAATATTTTCCATCCAATTATCTGATGGATATTACGGACACAGTGCGCATAAAAGCAAGAAAAACACGCAGAGCTTCCGCTTCAAACACACTTCTTCATGACAGCTGCTCTGGTGCTGCGTCATGCCATCCAGCGCAGATAGACGGCTGGGCATTTGCAAAGCAAATGGCGCTGTACATTAAAGACAATGCGCCGGTGTCCCTACTCGCCTTATGCAAATCGGCGCTGAGGCCGAGCTCCAGATATAGCGGTACAGGCTGAAAGAATGCGGCAAAGGTCTGTTTTCATGACCAGCGTGGGACTTTTTCATCTACAGCCCCACCCCCAAAAACCCCCCATTTTACATATGTGTTACACAACTCAAGCTTTGGGTGATCTAAAAATAGACCCCAGGGCACATGGTATCTATTCACATGTGAGCAAAAACACTCAGTTCTTTTCCTTTTCAATTATCCCCCCTTCAGTGCAATTATGCCTTCACTGAGCGACTGGAATAACAGTTTAAAGAGATCTGGGAGGACATGAATCAAAGACAACTGTGTGGTCAGGTTGAAAATGTCCACTGTGCTCTTTACAGAGTCTTTTTTTTTTAGCTATTGAATGATGGCCTAAAATAAGATTTGAATAGTTGTCTCGGCTGATCTGTGTGGTTTCATGCATCCCAATGTCGGTGGTATAAATGGGAACGAAAGGGCAATTCTTGGTCAGTGTACTGCACTCACTGTAGTATTACAGTGGACTCTTCTTTGTTTACAAAGGAACTTGTGGCCAGTAACTATAGCATGTATGGTGGTATCATACAACTAACTGTCAACATAACTTTCTCTATATTCATTAGGTATGTAAATGTTAGTGGTCCAAAACATTATCAATGCAACTGGTCGCATTTTTTGAGGCCACTGGACCGAGGTCATTTTGAGGCCATTTGGATTGAGAGTTCACTACACTTGTCAGGCGTAAAAGCTGTTTTTCAAACCCAGGTCCAGCCAGAAAATGAATCTTTGGTCCACCTGAATCTGTGTTCTGGTATTCACTTCAAGTAAACTCCCTTGCAGTCCTCACTGTATCTGAAAGCTATTCTAGCCATGGTGTCCAATAATATGATTGATTTGTCACGTTAATTCAAGTTTTCAGTTTTTCTTCTCCTTTATTTTAGCATGCAGGGATGAATCTCTACTAACATACCATCTTCAAAAAATGCATAATATCCCAATTAACTGCAATTTTGCTCTAGAAACTCAAGAGAGCTGACAGCTGACAGCTTAACAGTACATCACTGGTGATGAGCATTTACTTTCTTTTCAATGTGTTGGACAGAATCATGGATAACTCACTCATTTGCCTCCAATCTCTTCCCCGCTGGAGATTGGAGGCAAGCACTCCACTATAAGCACTCCTTTCCTAATTTAAGCATGCTAAGGGGGCTACAGACTGCTTAGGTAAGACTCCCAAGTAACTGTCACTTCTAATTTACCTTTCATGGCTAAGTCAAATCAAATCAAATCAAATTAAATCACGTTTATTGTCACATCACATTTAAACTAGTGCAAGGTGAGTAAAAATCTTAGGTGCATAGCCTTTGGAATTTTATATATATATATATATATATATATATATATATATAAACATATATTTCCAATGTACAGTTGTACAGTAATAAATTATGAAATAGAACTTATTGAATGAGATAAAACTATAGTATGTACTGTTGTACATATTTCCGTATGTGCAGTTAGTGAGTCTGAGATAGATAAATAAATGAGATTTTAGCCCCGAGTATGAGATGAGATGGCTAAGTATCATAGTGTGAACTTTAATATGCAAAAAAATGTGAAATTACATTGTCAGCCACAAAAAAGGTGTTAAATGCCAAATTATACTTCATTAATTTTGCACTAGAGCTACATGACTAATGTTACTACCAAGTAGTAGAACCTCATCTCACCCAAAATATAAAGACACGCCCTCCATACTCTTGCTTTAAATGACATTGTTAGGAGTGCATTTCAGCTGTTAATGAAAAAAAGGTCTTAGGGTGTAGTTGTTCTTTAAGAGCGGTTGGTGAATGAGGCCCTCATTTCCCCATTTTTTCACAAAGCACAATGCATGATTTTAGAATAATAAGTAAGTCAGAGTTGAATGAATGGATGCAGGATACTTACAACTCCCACAGGAAAGGCCAGCACAGCCATCATCCAGTCTCGCAAGCCGATCAGCTTCCGGAGCTGTCTTTCCTGCTCCATGCTGGCCGTGCCCTTCGTCAAAAGGCTAGAGAGGTCCGTCAGGACGCACACACCAAAGAACACAGCTTGTATGACCTGGAAAGAAAGAACACTAGTTAGGTAATGCAGTGTAGCCTAACATAGCTGCCAAATCAATTTTACCCAATTCAGCTCAGTATTTGTTAAGTACAGTGCTTTTAACAGGCCAGTAATCTCATCACTGTAGTGTTTTTATGACTGTTCTCTGGGTTGTCTGCTTCTCTTCACGGTTCCACTGGATGGACAACATTGCACAACCCCATTTCCAAAAAAGTTGGGACGCTGTGCAAAATGTAAATAAAAACAGTTGAGTGAAATGCCAGACGACATGTAAGGGAAGCAAAGAGGAAATTTACTCAGTACAAGATGTTACATATGTATTACCTCACCCCTCTTAAGCTGTGTAGAATGGGCCTGAGTAAGAGTGATAAACGCTGGAAATGCTGCTTGCAGAAGGAGACATATGTACATGCACTTTGGAGTTGCCCTCTTGTGACAGAAATTCTAGAAATGTTAGGTAAATGGGCTGGTTTTATTATCCCACTATCGCCTAGACTGTGTTTGTTGGGGACAGGACTGAATTACCAAATGTCTCAGGTAACAACGTCTCTCTCATCGTAGAAGACATTACCACAGCTGCTAGAATAATCATAGAGAGCATAAATGTGTCAAAAGACTGGATGACATTAACGACTGAAACAGCAGCATTTCAGTGAATGTTAGCAAGACAGACAGGCAGCGGGAAAATGTCTGACACTTGGAACTTGGAGCCTGGAAAAGGATGGCATGCCCACTCCAGGTAAGGTGACAGGACCTGCCCCAGGTGAAGGGGTGTAAGTATCTCGGGGTCTTGTTCATGAGTGGGAAGAGGGACAGGCTGGGACAGGCGGCAGCAGTAATGCGGTCACTGTACCGAGTAAACGACTGCCCACCTGCCGGACGGACACTGATGGATGATTGTCTATGGAGCTCTCCTGCTATCCGCTTCAGACCAGTTGCCCACGCCCCAGTCGCCGCCACTTGACTTGGACTAGCTGCACACTCCCACTCTACACCGAAGTTTTCATGGACTCCTAACTACTACTACTATTACTACTACTACTATTAATATTAGGAGTATAATAATTTTGTAGGTAGTTTGACCAGAGGAGGATGGGTCCCCCCATGTGAGCCTTGGTTCCTCCCAAGGTTTCTTCCTCAGCTCTGAGGGAGTTTTTCCTGGCTTGCTCACCTGGAGGATTTACATTTCATGTTAAAACTTTGTCTTTAATGGATTTCTGTGAAGCTGCTTTGTGACAACATCAGTTGTAAAAAGCGCTATACAAATAAATTTGACTTGACTTGTACCGGACTGTAGTGGTGAAGAGGGAGCTGAGCCATGAGGCAAAGCTCTTTGTTTATTGGTCGGTCTACATCCCCACCCTCGCCTGTGGTCATGAGCTGTGGGTAATGACCGAAAGAATGAGATCACGAATCCAAGTGGCGGAAATGAGCTTTCTTTGCAGGGTGGTGGGCTGCACCCTACTGACAGGGTGAGGAGCTCAGTCATCTGGGAGGAGCTTGGAGTAGAGCCGCTACTCCTCCGCATTGAGAGGAGCCAGTTGAGGTGGTTGGGGCATCAGATCAGGATGCCCCCTGGATGCCTCTCGGTGGGGGTTTACAAGGCACAGCCTACTGGGCCGAGACCCCGGGGTCATCCTGGACCCGCTGGAGGGATTATATCTCAGCAACTTGGGGTCCCCAGGAATGAGCTGGAGGAAGCTGTGGGGGGCAGAGTCATCTGGGAATCTCTGCTCTCCCAACTGCTACTGCGACCCTATCTGGACTAAGTGGTTATTGATGATGATGATGATGATGATGACATTTCTATAGTACAGTTTGTATACAGTCCATTAGCTAAAGTAGGGACGGGAAAAGTACAGCGGATTTCATCTGTAACTCTCAGTGATATAATCCCACATCATTCCTGTTAGCCGTGACTTCAGAAGGATGCTCTGTACTCACTATTCTGATTGTACTTCTATCATATGCGAATTGTTTTGCATGTGAACTGGAGAGCTGTGTCTTGTTTTCTCCTTTTTCGCAAGCTTAAAAAGCAAGAGAAACAAGGCTGATCGGTATATGTATGTGTGTGTGTGTGTGTGTGTGGACAACATGGACAGGCTGCTGACTGGCTACAGCTGCTACAGGAGAACCCTACGCTGGACATGTGATATTTTAAACATCTGGTATTTTTACATAAACTGTTATGGCTGTATTGATTTAGATAAACAATAATGTGGTGAATCCACCAGATCTCTGAGTAACAAACACATCAACACCACACAAGGGTTAAGGCCTGAGAAAGCTCTCTGGATCTCGGCATGGGAAACCACTCACTTCAACAATCAAGAGCAAACCAACCTAAATGTCTGAGGTTTAAATTAGAAAGACTCCTCTGAAATCCTCTCTAATGATGTTCTATTCATTGACAGCTGATGTGGTGCACCTGATTCTAGGGCCCAATCCCTTCTTTTCCCCTACCCCTTGTTTTCGAGTGTCACCCTAACCCCTTAGAACTGAGTTAGTGGTTGAAGTCTTGCCCTACGAAATGGGACCCTCAAATAAAAAATAAAAAAACATCACTTCATTAACAGCTACCTGCGCTGCTCTGTAGGCGACCCTGCCAGTCTGCAGTGACAGCAGAGGAGGGTAAAGTTCAGCTCCTCACTGCTGGGCTTTAGTTACATTTAGGCCATCATATGATCTTCAAAGAGGGGGGCAATTATTTATTATCACCCACCCCTAATTCTTCAGTGATATGAAGCTGAAGTCAGATATTCACCAGATTCTTGTTCGAATTTTCCCGTTCCACCTTAAATGGTGCAGCAGTTACATTCTGGTGCTTCAGGCATCAGAACTGCTGGACTATTTAAGGTGGAACGGGAAAGTTAGCTAGCTAGCTACCGAGACATTAGCATGGTATTAGTGATTTTTTATGTTTGTTATGAAGAAAACGACCATAATACACTGAAATGACATTAAACTAAGATAATACTATAGTTATTGTAATTTTTTAACTGAGAAAATTCTCACATTTGTGGGTTTCTTTGGTCTCTTGTTCAGCCGTCTTGCCGGTTTTTCTTTTTTTCTCATTTTGGAGTCTCTGAAAAATCTCTGTTTGGAGGATCATGTAGCCCTAACACTTCTCCCTACCCCTCTATCTCAACAAGAATCGGGACACCCTACCCCTAGACGTGAACGCACGTGGAATGGAATTGGGCCTAACAGTAGGCATTTTAAGTAGTAATAAATATGGACATGTCCTACCTTTTTCCTCAAAAATGATTGTTTTCAGTTTTGTTATATTTTTAGTTATATTACCTCCTGCCTTGTTTAAATGAAGATCAAATGCCCATATGTTTAAATATGGTAAAAAAGACACACTGTGACTGTGGTACTCGCAGCTTTCAGAGTGAGAATAAACCATTCTCTTCAAGCTTCTGCCTGGCAGCGGTGGTATCAGCGCCGAGCGATTACCTCAGCATTAATTTACGAGGGGAGTACATTATTCACGTTCTTTTCTCTCATCCGAAGAAACCCAATACACAAAAAAGTGTGTCTTTTATTCCCATTAATTCACTGTTTAATTTTTTATTCCTCATTATCTTCCCAGTTGGCAAATTGCTTTTGGAGGGCTGAAGTGAGGAGTGTCCTGTCACAGTGCTACTACACACCTACACGTGCACACACACACACACACACACACACACACACACACACACACACACACACACACACACACACACACACACACACACACAGTATCGCTCATTTGCACAACGACTGAAAAAACCCAGTAGATTCTTCACACCTTTCTCTTCCTCCTTTGATTCTTGCTTTTAGTTTAGGTTTAAAGTGGATTCAGTTTTTCCTCTTTTGCACCAACTCGGTGGTTTAAGCAGCAGTTTCTCTGTAACCAGCATGAAACAGTTCACCAGCTGAACAGTGACTATTTCGTCTTTAGCAACAGCAACAATTATTTTGTGGACTGAGACACGAGACTCTGAAATGGTTTGCATTCAGCATTTGCAACCTAATTAAATCATTGAGCCACTAAAAACTGCTGTTTGTAGTGCAACAAGGAGATTTTCCACAAGTTAATCTCAGAACTGTGTAGAGCAGCCTAAACCTATACTCAAGGAAAAGTACAGGGAGATTCACTTGAAAGAGGCCCCAAATATTCTGCTGTAACTCCCGTTAGGATTAAGCAATCTGAACCAAAAAAATGTGCCACATACCTTGATGTGTGTGTAATCGATTGCATTACATGTGATGCTGGAAGTGACCTCTGTTTTCTTACAGACACATGAAGGGGTACGGGGGTCTGCACCTGGAAGTTGCAAACGGAGGTTAAACGTGGCGACGGCTGTCCAGCGCCTCCCTCATCGCTCATCGCAGGGGCAACCTGACTTTGAAGCTCCATATACTGAGGAGCTCATTGCACATTGTTTCGTTCAGATTGCTTCGTCCTAGAGAGAGTTATTACAGAATATTCGGGGCCTCTTTCGAGTGAATCTCCCTGTATTTTTACTTTGGTGAATTTAAGCCTGTGCTGATAACTGGGTCCTTATACTCAGGCATCATGTGGAAAAAAAAACAAAGTAAATAATTCAACAAAACAATTCAATTTTAGTTAAACGGTTTGACTCTGAACCTTCTGTTTTGAGGCTGTGCGTGTAGCGTAAAGAGGTAACGATGAACAATGTGGTCCGAAAAACCCCCACAAAATCTCACCCAAGACTTCAGACTTTCAAAATGATTATTTCAGGCTTTTTCAGCGTGACTAGCAACGCATGCACACCATATTTTAGTGTGTGAGGGCACACTGCAATATGGGAGTTATCCAATATTCCAGTTAGGGTCACACAATATAGATATAGACACCATACTGAAGTTATATTGCTACATACTGTGATTGTGATATACCATCTAAGATATTTAAAACATGACTGAACCATTGATATGAACAGACTGGCCTGCATTACTTCTAATCAACATGATTTATGTTTGTCGGA